AATATAAACTATGAAAGGTAAAGATGAGGTTGATGTATCCTCACATGTTGTTTAACCTGCAGCAGAGTGATGACTTAAACTAAGAATTCTTTCTGAGAACAACAGCAAATTGAAGCAATAATTGATTAAAAGCCTTTTCCTAAACTCAATTCTTTATAGAGGTTTTAAAAAAGAAACATGCTAGTTTCATCACCATAATCTTCTGAGCCTCTAAACTCCAACATGCTGAACAACTTGGAAAGACATTTCTACTGTGTTTTAAAGTCAATCTCATATTCTGTCTAATTTATTGTAATGTATTTTAACTGATTTGAACTCACCTGATGGGGAGATGTGTCTCCAAGAGATTTTGGGCTCTGGTTTCCCACTGGCTGAGCAGATGAGTGAAACATTGCTGCCTTCGTTTACTGTAATGTCCGATGAAATGTCATAGATTTTGGGAGGAACTGTGAAACAAAACAAACAGTTAGATACACAAAGATGCAAATGAGCTCAATGCCGAAAGCTTGGATCTAGAAAGTCAAGTATGTGAACAACAACAACAACACCCATACAGTTTCAGATCTACCCAACGCAAAAGTCATTTTCATCGTTACAGCAGAAACATTAGTTTTTAGAATGATGTTCTAAGAATGTGTGCCAAATTCCATGGAAATCTGTCATTTTATTAAGGAATTACAGCCATTTACATACGACCACACCTGATGTACCTGTGATCACCATTTTAATTGAAATATCAACATGTTTTGGATAATTATTGACATTGGGAGTCCAGAAAATCTTATTCTACTGGTTTCATTCTGACAGGATGAAAATTCTAGGATTAGCTTAGTTCACAACTGCAATTATAAAGTCTAAGTGTAATAAGATTTAATAAATGATAATATGGGTATGCATAGTCCATAAGCCAAGGAACATGATGGTGTAAAATGTTTCATGAAGTACAACCAAAAACTATAACAACATCATAATGGCGTTTCTACTATCTACCATGGTTCGGTATTTTCCCTAATATAATAATGCTGGCAAATATAATATGATTCCCAGAGTTTCCTGCTTGGACCTCTAAAAATATAAGAAGAAAGAAATTAATTGGTATTGTCAAGCTTTTTTGTAATGAAACGTCTGATTTGGAATGCTTCATGGAACTTTAGTTAACATTTTGGTGATAAAACTACAGTATTTTTCTGGTAGACATATAGAAGGCAACTAGCTACTTTTGCATGATATTATGTGTCATAGTGCACCTTACACTCAACTACAAACTAAAAAGAAAAGAAAAAACCTAGATGTAAATCTGTCTTTATCCCACCTTTCATCACACAGGGCCTCTACTCTTTCTCAAAACCACCACCGTCAGTTGTCAAGGGGTTTATGAATAAATGCCTGACCTCCTGGTTTTGCTTTCCTATAAAAAAAGGCAATAAATTGTCAAGAGTCTGCAAAATCAGCTATTCACTTTGTTCATTTTTTGAGGTCCGGCTTTGAGTCTGTGCCAGGTTGTTTGAAGTGCATTGCATTTAACTAGACTGGTTCTGATTCTTTGACTCCCTCCTCCCAATATAATATTCTAAACATGCATTTCCTGAAGATCGATGTATAATGACCTAACTTTCTCAAGAGCTATTTATATATGTTCTTCTCAAACAGTAAACGGAGTTGTAATTAACATTTATTTTATTGAAATGTCAATTAATAGTTCTCCTGACAGGCAGACTCCCCATTGCATCCATGCATAATCAGAAACAATATATATAATCATGAATGATTGCTATTATGGAATAAGAAATGCTCGTCTGGGGAAAATCGATTAGAAGAAAACAAGACACTGACAGAAACAAAATAAAACCTTTTAAAACATACTGAAGAGAGCTTTCAAGTTTTCAAAGAAATGGCGCTATTTCTTCTTTCCAAGCAAAAGGACACCAAACATTCAGGCATTTGCAAAGAAACAGCAATTATTTACTCCTACACTATTTGATCTCCAGTTTAGGTCTTTCTTATCTTGCTTTTTGTAATCTGCTGGCACTAAATGGTTGAGTTGAAATTCTAATGAACCCTTTCATTGTTTGAAAGCACTGCTCTGACTGTCACGCTCTCCACTGCAGGTTTACTTGAACTTCCTCCCACTGTTGACAAATGTCCACAATCACCGATAGCACAAATGGAAAATGTTGCATTCATCTACTGATCATATCTGCTTTCAACAGGATCAAGACCCTATTAGTCAACACCTGAGGAGTCAGGTAGCGGCCTTTTAAATGAGATGTGGGGCCTCTGCAGATCTTTAAACTGAACATGTGTGAAGAAACATCAGTTTCATCATCTTGACATATCTTCTAGAACTTTCTCGATAAATGCCCATCTTGAGATTTGAAGTCTTTTATTAAGTCTTTTATGAGTTTTTTTTTCCAAACACTTCTTTACTTCTACAATGCAATAATGGCAAAATTGTGTCGAAACAATTAAGCTTTTTGAGCTTATAAGTTGGCAGGAAAAAAAGTCCAGAGGATTTGGTGCATTGAAGGAATATCTCTCATTACAGCCCGAGACAGTTTTGACTTTCATTACTGGTCTTGTGTGTACCACCTGCGAATACAGAGTATATTATCAGATGAAATGAAACCCTCTCTGTATTTTCAAGTAGCTGAAAAGCCTAGAGGACCGGTATGCCTCGATACTCCACTGAAAACGGCAGCATAAACAGATGCAAAGGTCAACAACCTATCCCGGCATGCTTTTTTAACTATCACTAAGTTCATAATAAAAGCACGTGTTGTTTAATCTCAAGCTCAGGGTCTGACCGCGATTTGACTTTTATGAATCCTTTCCGAGTGTCAACCTCAATGCTTTTGGCTATAGTTATTTTTAACCTGTTTATTTCCACTCAGCCTGTTCAATCGGTAGGGTAATGATGACAAGAGAAAAACAAGACAACGCTAAAGCCCTACCCCAAGGTCCTATTCAAGACAACCTGATGCTTTGTTTTCAGTTTAATTCATTAACTGCTGCACGATTGTCATGTTTGCCCATTCCACTCTAATTCTTCCTCCTCTCCTCGGCGGGAGGCACTGAGATGGAGCTGCCACAGCTGACGGGGGAGGCATTATCAGTCTCAGCCCCAGAGTGAATAAATAAGCCTCTAATGATGCCACCTTGAATTACTGAAACGCTTACAGCTATTAAAATGCAGAGTTTCCTCTGAACAAAGTGGAGTACATGGCTTGCCTTTCTATAAATTCTGACAGGTTCTCCAGGGCTGACTGCTGCCACCCAATTCCAAGACCCCATTGCTTCACACCTACTGCCAGCCCACATTCCAATTACAGAGCTGAGGGGAAAGTGGACTCCTGTCATAATGCAGACTAGCACAGGCAAAGAGCTGAGGAGAGACAGGCAAGGAAATCAGATGCACTTTTATCTATTTGTTGTCTTCCGGCTGAAAAGGAATGAAAAAAAAGTTAAGGCTGATGTACAATAAATGGACTTGTATAGGTTACAGTATTGTATATATATTTATAGCATAAATTAGGTGAATTTTAATTACTATATATGAGGCCTCTACATGGTAAATTACCAGTGGAATAAGCAGTACTATAAAAGATGCACTCTATTGCACAGCCGAGCCCTTCATTAACTTTTAATATATGTTGCATGCCATGCCAAAAAACACAGAGACCATTGTAAATTAATTTTCCCTGTCCTTTCCACAAGAACTGCTGACTTATATTTAAATGACAGAGCAAAACATTACTAAAACTGTAAAAAATGATTGTGATTTTAACAGTAAAAGGCTACAGTAAAAACCTGTTAATTGGTTAACAGTAAGTTTCCACACTACAAACAGTGAATAACTGTGATTACATTTAATGTAATTTTACAGTAAAATACTGGTAAAATTACGGTTTTTGGAAGTGAAAAATAACAAGTCATTATATAATTTACAGTGAAAAAACGTAAATTGACATTCCCGGAATTTCCTGCATGACACTTTTTCATATCAGTTGTGTACATTAAGGTTTTATCTTACATCTAGTGTTGTTAAATTAATGTTTATTGCATTATTTCAGTATCATGTGTTACCATGATGGTGTTTAGTGTTTGTGTGAATGACACTGTGAACCTTCTATATATAAGTATTTCCCTCCTCAGCTTGTAGAAAAGCTGTTTATGATGAGGTTTCATCATATGACTTTCTCATCGCCACCAGTGTTTGGTGGTTGTCAGTGATTTCAATGGTACAAAACTGAAATTAGTACTTCAATAGGTTGGTATATTATATCAGTTAATGAATTACAGTGAATTTAAGTTAAGTCTGTAAAACCTAAAATGTTGATAACATATTTTTTACGGTAAAGTTCTGGAAACCACATAGCTGCCAGTATTTTACTGTAAATGTTACTGATTTTTTTTTTTACAGTGATACTGTTGAAATCACACTAGAGCTTTTAGTTCATTTTGTCATTTTTTGTGAACTTGGCCATGCACATCGAACCATACTAGAGTCTGCCTGAAGGAGGGATGGTTCATTTGGACTATATGTAGTTGGTTTAAATGCAATTGGATCTCATTTGTGGAAGTGAACCAGTGTTGATGACATATAAATGTCTATTATACAATAATGTATTTCTAATTGCAACTATTCTCCACAGAAATTGCGTTTAGCAACTCACATTTTCCATTTGTCCTACAAATCAGACACATAAGTGCTGTTCTGTGCATTTTGTTTTTGTGGTACTAAAACCAAAGGGAGTAAAAAAGTGAATGTTTCCATTTCTTTTGCCTTCTCTAGAGATACTGTATTATCTAGCTATAATTGTGAACAGGTACTGTAGTACTCATTCTAGTGCTTATATTGATGATGCAAATCTACTGCAGTTTGGAGTCAAATAATGCAACGTAAAACAGTCAGGGGAGGAATCGAAAAACAGATACAGAACAAAAAATAGATTTTTTATTAGCTCATGTGTGGAAAGCCTTCAGTCTGATAATCCTGTTATAAACTACTTGTCAGACAAAACATACCATGATTTCAGTTAAGAAGTGGTTAGGAAGGATTTTAAAATCATTAAACAAAGCTTGAACTGAAAGAGACACTAAGGGTAAATAACAACTTCGAACATAATAATAAACTCTTGTGTGTCCTGAACAACCCTTGTGAGTCACAATGCAGCTCTGTTCCAAAAGCTAGTGAGCTGCCAACATAGGCAGCACTTGAAGAAATCAAATCACAGGCACAAACCCAATGCTACGGCTGTTTGAAAAGGAATGATGCATGATTATGCCTTCTAAGATTATTTTTCTAAACCAAAAGAAAAAGAAAATCAAATAAAAAAACATGTTGCATGTATTCTTCGCAATTCAATAATTGTTTTAAGATGGTGTATATTATTTAAAATATCATTTTTGCAGTACTGAAAACATTGATAAAAATAATTCAGCCTAA